CTTTTCATCCAGATCACAAACTCTACTTCCCAACGTCTGTGACCAGCCACCTGCAAAACCACCAGGCAAGTCCTGATTCAAACTAATGTTTCCTTCTGTCACAGCTGTCATGAAAGAAGGTACATAAGCACAGAGAGGGCAGTAAAGGGCTTCCCCTGAGAGCAGTGCTAGGAAGTCAGGCAGAATCAAAGCAAAAGAGACTATGCTTTTGTACAAATGCAGATACCACACTGTAGTGTATAAACCAAAATACATTCTAAGCCGCTCTCTACACCAACAACGTCACAAGTGATGCATGTTCAGTTGTGGGCAGTGCACAAAAGGAAGCTCACAGACTATAGTACAGAGAATTCAGAGGGAATAGGTTCAGACTTTGGAGGATAGACATAATCTATTCCCCATGATGGGCAGGGCAGGGGAGGGCAAGGCAGGGTAAAAGTAGGGCATTTAAATTTCTGCAGAAAAAAAATCGGATATGAGGACAAAACAAGCAAATAATAGGGATAAGAATATACTGGAATCATTTGCCTAGGAGTTTGTGGGATCTCCTCCACTGGCAATCATCAAAAAAGATTAGTGTGGCTGTTTTCATCCAGGTGCAGAATGAGCTACGTGGCCTCAATCTTTTTGCAGCATGCACCATTCCAGAGGATGCAAAAAACTGAAGGCATGCAAAGCATGTTTTCCTTTTGAAATAGTTTCCAAAGATAGAAAAGGTAAAACAAAATCCACTGCAATCTCACAATAACTATTCCCCTTTACTTTTGGAAATACCAGGATAAATGTCAAAAGTTTTTCTACAGAGAACAGAAGTATGGGGAAGGATTCCCTCAGAAGGTTTAATTTAAAGCGCCTATTTCAGATACCTCCAAATCATCAGACAGAAGAGTGGTTCACCCAGAAGGCAGCAGAGAGCAGCCTGGTCAGCAGCCTTCCTCTTGCCACTGTCCATATAGGCAGCCTGAAGAGAGATGGGCGAGCACTTCTCTCCATGCAGCAGCATCCTGTGCTAAGCTGGACACAAGAGAGTAGGCACACAGACAAGGGCAAATGTTGAGGAGTCACATTGCCAAATGTTTTATCAGGATGTAGGGACAGCACAATGCTGTCCTCTAAGCACTCTCTGCAGACCTTAAGCCTGGATAAAGTAGAAGTGTTTCATTCTAACTGATGTTGAATGAAAATTTAGAAAAATTAGAATAAAAATGAAACCTCCTGCTTATGGTTGCAAGACACAAGGGTTTCCCAGCTTTCCTACATCAAGTGGGATATCCACGTGATTATTTCAGGATTTAGATCATCACATCTATATCCTCAGGGAGGCTTAGAATAAGGTAAGTGTCATACTTAGTCCAACAGTACTCATACTAAGCTGAAAGATCATGTTTTGATACTTTTTTCATCCAGAAACATCATTACAGCAAATGTCAACAAGGAAAATCAAAACTACTTTCTATGTCTATCACAACTGAAACTTCGGGTTTCTTAGTGGCAAATTTGACATAAAATCTCACACTGGGTTTTTTGATGGTGAAAATTCAAAAGCCCCTTCAGATTAATTTTGAAGTGAAGACTGTTACTAAATTCAATTAGAAAAAACAGTCACGATAGTATCCCTTGTGTTACTTAATTCAATATTTATTTATTTTATATTTCTCCTACATTTTTAATGTTTCTTGAGTACTCCAAAATTTTACATCATATTACAGAATTTGTCAGAGAAAGAGAGAATTTTGGTATGAGACAGAACTTTAAGGATTTTAGGAGTACAGGAAGCAGTTCTGATCTGTGGAATTACACATTTTACATCAGCTCTTAAGCCATCAGTACTGGAATTATTCAGCACAGAAATTGAAGCTATTAAATTTTAGAAACAACTTCTCCTTTGGTGACGAATGGAGCAATTCAACTCTTCCCCAGTGCTTTTGGCTTAAGTTTCATTGCTTGAAACAATTACACCCTTATTTAACTCAGTCCTTGATTTAAGTGAGTAGCTCACCTGTTCAATTAAACATCTGTGGAAGCATTAGGAGGGTTTGCACAGCTGACAGTGTTGTTCTGCACACTGTTTGCTTTCATGTGAAACTCTTAGGCCTAGAAACCATGTGGAAGTTGAAGCTGAGCCTCAGGAGAAAAATGCTGCAGTAAGAAGTGGCCTTAAAGCCAACTCCTCACCGCCAGCAGAGCAAATTCTGTTTCTGCGACAGAAACAAAAAAGCATTAGGGTTAGTGTTTAAAAGTCTTTAGACCTCAGCATATAAAAGCAAAATCCAGAATGCTCAGTATTCCTACCAGCAGGGTAACAATTATCTCACTTGTAATTTCAACAAAAAAATATTACTGTGTCAGGAGAGCAGTAATTTCTACCACGCATGAAACAGTCTTTAAATGAGTTTGAGTCCATTAACTCTAATAATATTTGCTTTACATAATAATAAACACAGGGAAAATATTTTCATCTTGTTGATGGGCCAATGGTGTAACTGTTTCTGTCCAACACTCACTACATGACACAAGACAGCAATTAGAATTTAGTCAGGTAAAAGGAAATTTGCCATTTCAAACCATCTTGACTTTAGTTTTCAGTGACAGTTATCCTGTCACCCCTGTCTGGCTCTGAAGCGGAATTATTTTCCTATCTATCTGGAGGTTTGCAAGCTGAGCATGGCTGTTTTTCTGTCTGGCACATCAAAGCTCCAGGCTACCAGGTAGTACTTATAAATGTACAGTGCACCAGGGATCGCCAGAGCAAATATTGTAAGGCTCTCTCCTCTCTTTGTGCTCTTTCATTGACTTTCAGGGCTCAGAAGTGCTGCAGAAGGAGCTTATCTGTGCCTTCTTTTGGCCTTTCCTTTTACAACATTTACTGGGCTACAAAGGGGCAACTTGTCTGTAGCCACCATTGTACTGGGAAATAAAGGGGTCAGACCTGGTGTTTTTTTGCAAAGTTCAAAGGATGCCTTTCTCCATTAAGTGGAACACACATAGGGAAAAACAAACAAACAAACAAACAAAAACCTCTTAAGAGCTTGTTTTTAATGGATATACATCAGTAAAAATAACTGCTTGTAATAGGAATAGAATCAAAAATATCAGAAAAAAAATGCTCTTTTTACACTTCCCTGAAATTTTCTTCCCATTCTCTTTCATTTCATGTGTTTCCTAAAATACATACATGTAAATGCTGAATATAATAGATACCACAATACTCCATACAGGAGTTATCCTCTCCAAAGACAGCAATAATGTGGTTTTGCCACAAAAGCTTGCTAGTCATTTCCATGTATTTCCATGCCTGATGCATATGGATTCACGTGACAACAATTAACTCCATGCTGGTAGAGCTAACTTGCAATATCTGTTCTGTATATGTGATATCTTCTTGTTGGGGCTCGGGGGAAGGAGGGGAAATCTCTGATCTTTAAAGAAGAAAGTATTGCATAATACAGGGGTTATGGATGATCTCTGTGTGAGATCCAATTTACCCTGCCAGTATCTCTGGCTTGCGTGGCATACTGGAGGTTTATAATGCTGCTTGAACCATAGGAATTGTCACGAGCCAGCAAACTGTTCAACTTCTGACCCTGGTCAGTGATTTCTGTTTCAGTAAAAGGAAAATCTTTCTCCAGAGGAAGATTGGTCACAAATAAGTGAATGTGAGGGAAAAATTCTTTTCACACAGAGACCTGCCCATAACTTAGAGTGGGAGTTTTTATAGAATTTCCTTTTTTCCTAAGCTAAAACAAATGAAATGTTGCATTTATCTTTCTGTCTTCATCAGTTAACAGCTTACTCTGCTTAAATACATAAAAACGTAACATTCTATGAAGTTGAATTCCACTTCATGTAGAGAAAAGTCTGGAAATTGAAGAGGTAACATGGCAAACAGTGCTATTACATTTCTCCTTTTGATCAGCTTGCATGACTTATGACACACAATGGTCTCATAGAAATAAATAATTCTCAGGAAGAGTAGGAAAATCAATTCAAAGAGAGATAGTAAGGACAGTCAACAGGATTAGTTTCTGGATTGCTTTCAGTGTTGGAATTTCTATTTTGCATTTCTTAACTTCTTCCATTTGCTTTTCTTAGTCTTGATAATATGTTGCTTAGATTTTATATACATAATAACAGTTAACTCTTCTACTCCCATGGTATTTTAATGATGTTGAAATTTTGGACTGTCATTACACATTTAAGACCCACTGGAGGCTAAGGTTGATTCATAGCATCAGCATAGGAAATGGCTCATTTTCTCAGTGGCACTAATGGTTTAATCATTCCTGCTATTCCCTGAGCAATTTTATATTCTTTGAACTTTCTTTGAAGACAAGGTTTTACACTGTTCTCTGATCTGGGTTATTTATATCCCCCTCATCCTTTATTTCTAAGCAGATCTTCTACTGTACTTGAACACCAGGGAATATTTACTGAATAGCATTACAATCCCAATATTGGAAATACAGTGATGCTAATGATATAATATAGGATTATAATAGGCATTAAAAAAATGGATCTCTAATCACATTTGTGAGAATTCCCATATGGAGCAGTAGATGAATTGAAAAGTGCCAAGTCCTATGAATAAAGTTTGACAGTGATACATAGCCTCAGGAACAAGGAATTTCACCATAATACATTATTTCACTTACCCACCTACAAGAAACATGATTGATAGGAGATATCTACAACACAAATTCCATCTCAGGTGACTATCTGTCCTTTCAGGAAGGCTAGAAAAGGAAAAACTTGCAGGAAAACACTAGGAATGGAATCATCTCAAATTTAGCCAAACGAAAGTTAGGCATCTAACCTAAGCAAATTGTTTAGACTTTGCTTCAATAGCATGCATTAGAAGCTTCTAAAGAGTAATTAATTTCATGCTAAGTAGGAGTCTAAGACATGTGAAAACAGTTATCCTCTGAAAGTGTTTGATGTATGTTTGACTATACACAGAACCTCAAAGGTTATCTTAGGCTAGACAGCTACTGGGTAATGAATGTTAGATAAGATGTATTCACTTGGAGTCAAGCAGTACCTTCCATACTCTGTCCTACTGAGTAGCAATGTCATTAGAGAATCAGTTGGACTCATTTGTATTTGTTGCTGGCTATAGTTATCTCTTTTAGCTCAAGGTTAGAGCTTTGTGCCTCTCAATATAGGAGTTCAGATGTGTACATTTTAATAATAATTCCAATGGGGGATGAGGGGAAGACAGTTTTCTTTTGTACAAGATTCCAGAGCATGAAATTATTTGAACAATAGGTATTGTAGATCACCAGTGTTTGGAAACTTTTCATCTCTAAACAGAAATTGAAAGAAAAGGAAAGAACAATATGTTCAATGTCAGTTTCCATTGCTGTAAACGTTTCTGATCAAAACACTCAGACTCCGCTGTAATTTGTTGTGAAGTTTTGATCAAGGACAACACTCTATCCTAAAGAAACAGTCTGCAATAATGATACAAAAACATTACTGATAATTATAGCTTTAGAATTCCTGAATTTGTGTTTAAGTTAGCATACTCTGCCCTCTCCACTTCCCCACCAACTGGCAGGTATTTTTGGTTTTGTTTTGTCTTCTAAGTCTTTGTGATTTATGTCCACATCACTTGAATCTTCCTTGAGTTATGAGTCATATCTGAATGATAAGCCAAGCAGATTCCACTTCCTTTGCAACCTGTGAATACAAAAAAAAAAAAAAAAAAAAAAAGGAGAACAGTGAAAAGACACAAATTTGCATAGTTCTTAGTCAAAAAGCACACACCTCACTGTTGACCTATTTGACAGTGCAAACTTGGCCAGGAACTGAAATGGTGCAGGGGTATGTCCAAACGTACATCCTCCTTGGTAAACTGAGCAGTGCCAATGAATTATTCTGTACTCCTTACTCCAATGATCTACACCTGGAGAATGATTTGAGGCAAGATTTTGGCCACTGCCAAGATATTCTCTTCCAAGCAGTTACTAGGCATGGAGCAGGAATCGCCACCGACCAAAGTGGGGAGACAGTTTCCAGTGAGGAGACTGCAGGCATCTTAACTGGGAGACAAAGAGAGCTATTCTGTGCTAGCTGGTCTGTGAATAAGTGTCATCAAGATGTCTTAAAAAGTTATAGCCTGAGGTTCCCAGGGAAGGAACTGAGAAACCCAATGATCACAGAGAGGTTCATGGGGCGCTTATATCCCACACACACAGCTAGTGAGGCAGAACTGTGAAGTGACTGAGGTGAGAGTAGAACAGATGGGATGAGACAGTGGGAAATGTACCGGTGGTAGCAGCCTATCCGCTCTCCACATAATGCTGCTAACCTGATATACCTAGGCTATTCAGGGTCACCCTAAACATCTTCCAGGGGTCCATTCAAGCTCTCTAGCTAGGGGTGAATTCTAACCTGCTCAATCTGAATGAATCTGAGTATTGCTGAAATCTCTTTCCTTCCTAGAAGAGTCAGTCAGTCATTTTGGCTAATTTATATCTTCCTACTTTTCACAACAAGACTTGTAATTCCCAGTAGGAAATAATGGCAGAAGTAGCTTTAAATGTGCACTGGTAATGCTTGCATCTGACAAAGCCAATTTACTTTCCAATGAGCCCAAATACAAAGAGAACTAATTCACTGTCATATAATAATCTTTTGAGTGCATCAATAACAACTGTAGGCACAGAAAAAAACTTGTGTCTCCAGTTAATGTATAACCTTTCAAGCAGAAATATATTTTCAAAAGATATGAAAGGGATGATGTCTGACAGGGTGATAAAAGTTTACAGGAGTCATCATCTTAAATGTGTTTAACATGCATATAGATGAATCAGTGATTCAACAGCACTGATTCTCCAACATTATCACCATTTAATACTTTAAATATAACTCCAGTCATTCCTTAGGAAGAATCTGAAGGCCAGAACTGGACATAAATACTAATGCTACATCTTCCTTGTGATTCCCTGTTTACATGGTACAAAATATCCCATGTTATAAAATGAATGAAGCCATCAACATGGGTTGCTTTCAGAAAACTCTTGGACACTTCTAAGCTTTAAAAAACCCATTATGTATATTTATATATACTTATATTTATGATACTCACACACACACAAACAACACAATAATAAACAAAAATCTAATAATCAAAATATAGAAGTATTGGAGAAAAAATGAAATCTGCTTATTAATACTACACCAGGCAGAGTTCTTTTTCTCATTTTATCCATGGGCAGTTCTTGTGTAACCTGCAACAGAAATTTTCTATAGGCAGTTTCTTACACATATGACTTTTTTACCTTTTTCTCAAGGACAATCTAGTGCTTTGCTTTACAAGACAATATTTATACAGTTGCTCTGGGAGAGCACTTGAACAGGCGTATGCTGGTACATACAGAAACAATTTCAAAACACTTCTTAATTTTACGCAAACTGGAAAACAAAGAATCACAGAACCACAGAACCACAGAATTGCAGTGGCTGAAAGGGACTTCTAGAGATATCCAGTTCAACCTCCTTGTAAAGCAGGTTCCCTACAGCAGGTTGCACAGTTAGGTGTCCAGAGAGGTCATGAATATCTCAAGGAGACTCCACAACCTCTCTAAGCAGCCTGTTCCAGTGCTCTGTCACTCTGTGAGTGAAGTGAAGTTCTTTTCATACTAATGCAAGAACTTTCTGTGTTCCAGTTTCTGCCCATTGCCCCTCGTTCTGCTGTTCACCACCAAAAAGAGTCCAACCACACTGACACAACTCCCATACTTTAAATATTTATAAACAGTGATGAGATCTCTCAGCTTTGTTTCCTCCACACTGAAGAGTCCCAGCTCTCTCAGCCTTTCCTCATACACGAGATGCTCCAGGCCCTTAATCATCTTTGTCATTCTCCACTGGAGTCTCTCCAGAAGTTCCCTGACCTTCTTGAACAGGGGAGCCCAGAACTGGACACAGTGCTCCAGATGTGACCTCTCCAGGGCAGAAAGAATCACCTCCCTTGACCTGCTGGTCACGTTCTTTTTAATGCACCCCAGGATGTCATTGGTCTTCTTGGTCACAAGGGCACACTGCTGGCTCATGGCCAACCTGTTCTCCACCGGGCCACTTAGAAGGACCCAGGCTTTTCTCTGCAGAGCTCCTCTCCAGCAGATCAACTTGTGACTGATCTGTACTCATGTATGTGGTTATTCCTTCCCACATGCAAGACTCTATGCTTGCTCTTGTTGAGCCTCAAAAGAGTGAAATTATCTAGTCTTCTTCATGTCTTCTGATATTGGCTTAACTTATATGAGATTACCCTAACAATAATCAGCTGAGCAGAGGTTCCATGCTCCCAAGGTGATATGACTGCCAGTTCAATCATCGTGAGAAAATGAATGATAGCAAACCCACGCAGAAAGAAATAACAAGAAAGTTCCAATCACATCTATTATATTAGGGAGGCATCTAACTGACAGAAAGTGTAGATGCCACCACTTTTAACAGCAATAAATCTTCTTTGTAAAGAAGAGAGAGCAGTACATGTATGAGTCTCTTGACCTTGTTGAAAGTAACTCATTCCTCCCATCTGACTGTAGTACTGAATTTTAAATAGGCCATTCTAATTTTTCCCATACTGAAGGGCTGACTTTCTACTTGAAACAGCTACTCAGGGAAAACTGACAAGTCACAATGAAGTCTAGAAATCCAGTTTGCAGATTAAAGGGCCACAAATTGTGGCCCTACAGTCAGTATGAAATAATGAGTTCTGCTCAACTTACTCTAACCTACGGAAACCTTCCAAAATGTTTGCTATGGAAGTAATTTTTTTCATCTTCTCACTCTAATTTGAATTAGGCATGACAAAATTTATTTGAAGAACTTGATTTTGCATATCTGTAAGGGCGTTTCATCAAAGTCAATCCACAGACTCGTAAATACAATCTTTAATTGCATATTGTTTGACATATCACTATCTGTGCACTCATACATATTTCAGTATGCAAGTCATCTACACATTTCAGTGTATGTGTATGCACTTGTAAACATTTGTAGTGCAGGAAGAAAAAGATGGGAGTTTCAAGTACCAAACATGCAGAACAGGGCAACATTTACAAGAAGAGTTAATAGCCTTTTAAAATATAGCCCACTTAATTCAATAAATTGTCTGAAGATTTGTTTGGTCCCTTTTCTGCCTCTGTGCTTAGTTCAATGTAACAAATTCCTCTGTGAAGATTTTTATCCATCATGGAATATGAGACAGAACGAATATATCCCAGCAGAGACATCACCCTGAGAAGGGCTCAGCCTACTCAACAAATTGCTCAATCTTGTTGCCATTAAAACCGTTTGGAATAAAGAGCTCTTCTGTCCCTTTCATAAGTAAAAGGTACCTTTAATCTAAGTGTGCCAGGAGATAAAGTGAACTTTAATGCAGCAAACTGCAGGGAAATATTTTTCTTCCTATTGGCATCCTATTTACTGCTCAAGATCTATGAACATTCAATACGTGGAACGTTGAAAATAATTAAAGCAAACTCCTTGTATAGCACAGCCTCTCAGCTTCCAAGGGAGTAGAGTCCAGCCTTGTTGTGCTGATTTATAGGGAAAGCATTTTCAGATCTCTTGCAGCTGAGAAAGAAGATCATAGAATCATCATAAAATCATAGAATGGTCTGGGTTGAAAAGGATCACAATGATCATCTCATTTCAAACCCCCTGCCATGGGCAGGCTTGCCAACCACTAGACCAGGCTGCCCAGAGCCATATCCAGCCTTGCTTAAATGCCTCCAGAGATAGGGCATCCACAACCTCTCTGGGCAGCCTTTTCCAGTGTGTTACCACTCTCTGAATGAAAAACTTCCTCCTAGCATCTAACCTAAATCTCCCCTTAGTTTAAAACCATTCCCCCTTGTCCTATCACTATCAAACCACTTGAACACCCATGTGTTAACTAATACATCTTAAATCTTCTAGGAAGATCAGAACAGTGAAATACCAGCAGTACCCCGCTTTTTCTACCACATGTCAAAAAATTTCAGATATTTCCATGACAAAATTACAGAGGATTCTCAAATTCTGCTTTACTGAGAGATTAGTTGCTATTTATATTAGAGACGTGTCAACTTTAGGCATGATAGTAGATTACGAATTAATAGCTCTGATCATACTTAACAAAACACTACTAGGGCATCCAAATTAAAAGGATTACTCTTGCTCCTTATTATCAAAACCTAAAGCACTCAACAGATCCTCATAGCTAACATGACTCTCGCTATTTATATCACCTACACAAACATGGAGTACACAACCAATACTCTTTCAGTATGTAGGCTGTGTCTATTAGCAACTAAACCTCTACTCTCCTGACAGAATAAATGTAATAAGATGCAAATTTACCATAAAAATCTTAATGAAATTTCAAATCATAGATAAGTACACTGGAAAGATAACAATGGAAACAGTCACAGTAAAAAAAATGCATAATAACAACATTAATATGTCAAATTATTTTAAATGCTGCCTATTAACTTCTGTAATCTTTTGTTATCTGTTTGGAAATATTCTGTTGTATTTCATTTTGCATCTTGTCTTTTCTAATTCACTGCTTCTCAAAGGCTTGGTATCTCATCTCTTAGGGGAATGGGTTGGATTTTTTTTAAAGAGAAAAAAAGTCTGTGTCCTTTAGTGCCCTTTAGCTAAATATCACTGTGTGTGTCTAAATCCTCTGCTGCAGTGAGACCCAGCTATTTCAGGTAACTTTCTTTTTTTGTGTGTGTGCTAAAATTGACTTAAAATTTATAAAGTTTGAATTTAATTGGGGCAATTTAAATCATACATGGGGTAAGGAGTTCCAAAAGGTTATGGAGGGCAGAAAAGGCCATTAAGTATCACTTTGTTCATGAAACTCTGCCTCAGAGCATAAGCACCATTCCTGCCTTAGTTCTTAAATCACTAGAATAAATATCACACTGAAATTCATGATTTTTCTTTTCCCAGCACAACTGTATTATTGAAATAAATTTGGTGATTTGCACCATGAAATTCATCATCAATTATTATTTGTTCATTCCTCAGCTACCAAACACCAACAAACCTTTTCCAACTACCTGTGGTCCCTGAGCCATATCTAAAAACTTCCTTTAAATACCTTTATTAAATAAGAAATAGCATCTAGGTAGCAGCATTAGATTGCTTTTCCTTCATGCAGGTAAAGAGACATAGCTGTGAATGTGGAAACAGTGTAGAAAGCTGCTTTGTTCAGAAATGCAGTTTCAGAAGCAAAGATTTCACTAACTAGCTTAACATGAGCACATTACACACTTGTCACACATCACTGTCCACTAGCACTTCATGGCCAAAGTTTAAGAGATGCCAGAAGGTTGAGTGGATTGGGGATACATCAAAACATCTCATTCAACTTTCAGTTTACCACAAGTAACATACATACAACAATGAATGTTCAAAGGGACTAATACTAGAAGTTTGATACTAGATCTTAAAACATACGTATGTACACTCACACATATACCATTTTATTACACACTTAATAAGAGGTATATTTATTACATAAGAATTTTACTTGGATTTCTATTATTTTGATGCCCAGCATTTCAGTTTTGTGTACTATGTGAGAAGTACCAGAGAAGTCTGTACAGGATTGGATTATTAAAGCAGTAACAGCAAAAAACATAAGGAATATCATTCTAGAGAATAGATGTCTTTAGTCTAATTTCATAGATTACAAGGTTGGCTGGTGAAGGCAGTAGCATTGTTGTAATAACTAATAATTCTGCATAGTTCATTTTGTAAACTAAGACAGCACAGTTTCAAACTAGAATGCTCCAAAGATAGCATGGCAACATTATATGGATTGACCACTGGATAATTAGTCTTGTAAATGAGAAATAATCAACCAGGCTGAAGGGCCTGACAGTGCTCACAGGCTGCCAGTTTTGCTACTTTCCCTCAGTGTGAGCACTAATCACATCTTTCCTCTGCACAGGTTTTGATTATGGCAAAGTTTAAAAACATAAATCTAGCTGACACTTTTCCATCCACTTTCAAGTTTAACTGCACTTGGCCAAATAGATTTTTTTAATAGTCATAAAAGTTATTTAGGAGAATCTGACAGAGAAAGTCGGTGTTATCGTATGTTTCATTTCCTTGGGAAACCAGGCTAAAAATTTAAATAGGGATTCTATGGTTGATAGTGCCCTTTCAATAAGAAGAATGGAACAAGAAGATATGCTTGCTTTCCTGTCAGAGGAAATTGCTAAAACAGACATTTCTTTTAATTTAAAGAGCAGACTGTGTAATGTTGCAGTTTGCCCAGATGCTGTCAGAAAAGGTCACTGACCTGCTCCTCCAAGAATAATAAACAATGCAAAATAAATTACTTACTGTTTACTGGAGTGATCCCCTAGTATCGGTCCTTTCGCCTGTTTTAATTATTAAGTGTAAATTAATTACTCAGCAACCAAGAGTCTTCATCTTGTCTACTACGTACAATTCCTTTTTTTGCTCTCCTTTTCTATCTCAGTGTCTATATCTATTGCAATACCTTATTGGCATTACTATTTTTATCCTCATAAATTTTGCAATTTTGCATCACATTGCACAACTTTTTTTTACCCTTGGTAATGATTTTTGTGCTGAATGTTACAGGTAAAATTCTAATAATTTTATCTGTTTATGCAGCTAGCACACAATATCACCAGAATGGATGCAGAATTTAATCACCATCAGAAACCCCAATATATTGCCCAGATGGAGTAACTGGATGTACAGAAGATCTAGGCATGTACTGATTAAAGAGAATATGAAAACACTAGAAGGACAGCAAGAAACATAATAAAGCAGAAAATATTACAACTTAGAATTCTAAGCAGTTGTTATTGCATACAGTCCTTGAAGGACAACTTTTTAATCTTGCATCTTTAACTCTATGGTATTTTTTGCAGCTTCAACTAAAAATGCATGTAAAAGCTAGCACTGTAAAGAACAGTGACAACTGAATATATAACTTGTACAGACACATTGTTCTGTGCTCAAATATAGATGTAAGCAGGTTTGTATATGTTGCAGCTTTAGCAAATTGTGGTTATTTGAAACTGGAGGAAGAAGGAGCACGTTTCCTCCTTGCAGCTACTGAATACATTGTGTATTAGTGAGCAGACTCCTGTTCATGAAAAACTCATGTTATCCTCTGGGACATCTCTTATACTAAAACTATGTGATTTTAACCAATGGAAGAAAACAGTTGTTATTCTCTGATGTCCAAGTGAAAAGCTGTGCCTTTCCAACTGTGGGAAATAACAGGATTGTGACTTTTCAGGAGCAGGAATGAGCACAACAGGGATTGCACCATCAGAATGCCCTTTCATAGGATCTGAACAGTATCAGGATGCCAACAGGTTCCCACTGACAACTCCAGATGAAGCAAAGAGATGAAAGACTCCAGTTAGAAGCAGGAAACAGGGCTCCAGTGCAGGCATAAGGTCCAGCCTAGACACACAGCCAGAAAAAGGACTGGGCTCAAAGGACTGCTTTGGAGGTGACCTAGGAAAACCACTTAGTAAGCCAGAAGAGAAGCAGACAAAAGTGAGCACAAGTAAACTTCTGATGGAGCTCAGGCTAAGGCCAAGTGCCAGGTCTCAGCTTAAATGGAGCCCTGGTCTGTGGATTTCAGCTGAGACTATTCAGGGTAGTCATAGCCCGTGGATGCCTTTAGGTCCCTGACATGCCTGTATGGAAAATAGCAGAGGAGAGAATTCCTGTTAAAGCTGTTATTTTTGCACTAAAAGATAGAAGAAGTTGAACCTTGAGTTTTTACCCAGTTTTTAAACATCAGCGCTTCGGGATTTTAATGAAAAGCATATTATTTTCCTGAAAGAATAAAGTCCTGCTGTGAAAATGTTCTTTTAATAAGAAACCCAGTTTTCCACAGGAAGCAATTTTTAATGGAAAACACTCTAATGGAAAATTTTCTTTAGTGGAAAAATCAGCTCTTTTCAGTGTTGAAGGAAGTGAAATCCAATTTTTTTTTTCTGGACTTAATCTTCATATTCTGCCATTGTGTTTGAATCCTTAGGACCCACAGGGCTCATCAGTGTTAGCGTCTTGCAGTGAGGAAGATAAAGTACACACGAAAGAGACAGTATGGAAAGGATGTCTCATTCCCCTGTGTGTAATTTGCTCCCTGCTAACGGCAAGAAGCAAGATATGCTTGCCTCAGACTCTGCTGATGAGATGGTACTTTAAGGAGGATTAATGAAAGTGAAATGATGGAGAGGAAGGATTTCCTGTGATTAGATTTATTTAAGTGCTTGGGGCATTCGAAGCTGTTGTTGAGTCAATGAAAAGTTGGATTTCCTAAATCAACAGCAAAAGAGATGTAGCATCACTCTGCTGATAAACACAATTAGACTTTGTGTAACGCTGTTAGGGCCTCAAGACTTTCAGCTGATACGCTTGACATTTGTACTTCATTCAGGTCAGCTCTTAGAGTGTCCAAACCAGCTGCAGTTCCCACTGACTTCAGTGGGCACCAAGCATGTTCAGTAACCTTCAGAATTTGTCCTTTACTTCGTGTCTTGAAGCACACTGAAGTTGTGAGTGAGACAAATTAATCTGTTACCCTTTAATTTCCCTGCCCAGCATCACACAGGCTAAGCAACATCTTGCTTTGGCATCAGAGATATTTCTGCTGGCAGACTTGCTACATGCAACGCTTTCCATGCAAAATCTTTGTGGGCAGAAGGAAAACAAATGTCTGAAGCAAATGATCTTGAACAGGGAAGTGTAACGTGAGCACCACAAGACATACCACAGCAGTAGCCAGATCTATGAAGCCCCTTTCCACAGCCTACAGCCTGCAGCCACACGGGTTTGACCATCAAAGAACATCACAGGTCATGACAGAGCAGCCCACCTGAAACACATTACTCACCTCCCACTGGATAGGCAAGGATGTTCTGTGACAGCACCCAGCTCTTCAGACCTAAGTTATATCTTGTGTTACACATTTTCATAATAAATGTGGTTAAAAGTATTAAAAATGATGTAATGTGAAAATTAATTTGGGTGGTTTTTCATATATGTTCTTTTAATGTAGAAATATACTGTTTTGAGGATTAGGAAAGAAAATCAGAAAATAATCATTCTGAACTTAGTTATGGATGACAAAAGCATTAGCGATTTTCAGCCACACATTTTTGCTTAGCACTTTTTAAATCAAAGCATTCACTTTTTTATTTTTTTCAACAAAAACTATTTTGTCTTTATTTAAGGAAAATATGAAGTAAAAAAATGAAAGGAACATGAAACAGTATTAACTATATATTTAGAGCGGAAAAAGAGAATTCGTGCTTGGTGATCCCCTCCTTTCTTGGCTTCTCTGCCAACTATCCCCTCTCCCCAGTTGAGAGCATAAGGTCTGCACAGGCACATTTCCCACTAAATAAACTGGGTAAAACAAATGGGTTGATATTAAATAACATTTCTAGAGTTTAATATTCTAAAAGAAACTTTTTTAGGTTCTTGCCAACTTCTTGACATTTCAGATTGACAGATTTTTAGAAATTACTTTGTATTATTTATTGTTCTTGTTCTTAGGAGAAAAGGAGCAAGATGCTTACCACCTCCCAGGCTCAGCATTCTCTATTCCTACAGAATATTCCTATTCTCTATATCTACAGAAGCTAGGCAGTGATAGGGTGAAATGCATGGCTTTCCAGCTTTCTTGACATATTTATGAATGTCTCTTCTCATACATATTTTTAGGATCAAGATAAATTTAAAATCTTTTTCCAGGAAGTAAAAATTGCTCATTATGTTGATTCTCTGTGAGCAAGAGGAACTTATAGGCTTGCTCCAGGTGTTTCTGTTTGTGCTTTAGAGGAACCAGGTATTTCTGCTGCTACCAAATGCATACAGCAAAGACAACCTTTTGCTTTGCATGGTTTTAATAATCCATAGCACTGTACAGTTCTCCAAAGCCTTTTATCTTCATTCGGTTTTGTAAATATTGTCTAATTAATAACAGAGACTGTCCTACCTTGTTATCTGGGAGATAAGCCGAAAGGGCTGGAGTTAAAGCACTTTGATGAAATATTATCATTGTTCTCTGTCTGCCACTGTCATTGTTCCGTGGATGAAGGCAAGAGCTGAGTTTGCAATTCAAATATTACATTCATTTAAAAATGGCTTATAAAATAAAGAATGAAAGGCAGCTATCACTACCTATTATTTTTTTTTATGAGCTTGTGAGTTTCAAAAAGCATTTCATGTGGAAGAAGAAAAAAAAAAGCCCACAATAGCAAGTATGTGAGTTTAAGACTGAGAAATAAATCAGAAAATAAAAGTTAGTTTAAAAGCACAAAAGCACAAACTTACTTCTCTGCTCTTCTTTAATTATTGCTAGAATGACAGTCTATCAGCGTAAACTATGAGTGAATTGATACAAGACACAATGCAAATTTGATGTGAACACAATGCAGAAAAAGGCAAATGGAGCTGCCTGTGATTTACTTGTTTACAAAATGACTCACATTTCCTATTTAACTTCTGTTACACATTTAGAGTGCAAAATGAAAGCCTAAAAAAAGAAAGAGGATTTTTTCTTGTATGAAGGAAACATTTTAAATGATTCTAAAAATACATAACAGCTACTTAGTGGGCTTTCTGTAAGCCATTGCCACAATCCATCAGATAAAAGCAGCACTAAGAACTGACATAAGATATGTACAACAAGACAAAATACAGCGTTTTTCCATCCTGAGCTTTGGGGAATGTCTGTTTTTGCAGGGTTTTCTAGTCTGAGTCCCACAGGCACAACAGCACTGAATCTGATGCTGCTGGCATTCATCAGCACTTTTCTTCATGCCTCTGTTCCTCCCCCTGCAATGGCCAAGCCACTGCGCCTGGAGTTTGAGGTTCACACTTCCTTAGACAGAAGAGTAGACCCTCATAGCCCAAGCAACTGTGCAAATCTCTATCTGCTCTGCTAAAAATAAATGGCCAAGGACATCAACAGATTTAAGTCAATTAAAAATGCATTTTTGGTGGTAAAATTTGGTGGTAAAATTAAAAACAAAGAAAATTTGCCATGCCCAGCATTAAAAGGTTAATTTACAGAGGCACTACCCAATGTCTCATGCATGTTGAATACTTTGCACCTTTCAGACCCAAAACCCACACATGTGAAATTGAACTACGAAAATTAAGACATCACTTTCAAAATCATAGCCATATCCAAGGTCACAGAGCATAAGAAACAAAACTAGCACGGGGCCTTCCCAGTAAAACCTAATGATGCCATTAATTGGCAATGAGGCAATACTTTAACATATGTTATCACTTTTCCAAGTGATTACTGAAAAAACTATGGTAACCAACTATTTTTTGAAATTGTCTTTTCTATTCACTGCAATTACATGGCCATTATAGGCCTGGACAGCATAGAGTTTTCTTGATCAAATGAAATCATTTGAATCAGACAGAAAGGCTGTGGCATTTTTTATGTTAATATTGAAACTAGTGCTAAAGAAATAGCCTTGTGCCTTCTTGCATGTATAAAAATATCCCGTCAAATGGCAACACAAGATTCATATCAGCATTGCCACCAAAAATTAGGGAAGTAAAACAGACTTTGATTAGAAATCCTCTACCTCTTGTGCTTCTAAAATACTCAGCAGTTCTTACAGTACAGAGGAGCTTTAAATGCTTTACCAGCAGCACACATTCAGAATTAATGAGTGACACCTTAGATCAGTGCTTGAGACATTCAATCTACAAAGAAACTTCTGCTAAAAAACACTGATCTTTTTGTATTCTTAAGCCAGGAAAGTCACTATGTCAACTGAGAATGCAACTACAGGCATGAATAGTACAACACAAAATAAGAGTAGCAGACATAAATATAAAACAATATTGGAATGCTACTGTAGTAAGCAAGTTAATTTTAAATAATTCAGTCAAAACCACAAGGGGAATAACTATCTCATCAAGAAGGAGTTCTGTTCACCATGCCAATAAAAGGGACAAATAAAATGGATCTATTAAAAAAAAATATTAAATCATCCAGCAGAGCAAGTATGTACATCTGGGTATACCAGTTACTTGTGATGCTTTTAAGCTGAAGATTAATCTCATTTTTTAAAAGACAAAGGGCCTTGTACAGGTAATATGTCTATACTTTATAAGCAGACTTTCACAAAACTGGATTTAGTTTATGTTCATTCAAAATTGACAATAAGCCTGAACATGGTGCATTGTTCTCAGTGAAAGCCCATAAGGAATGATTCAGTTTAACAGACTGCCCTCAGGAACAGCATAAATTCCAGCTGTTTAATAAGTGCTACAAGAAAAGCATAATAGGAAACCAATGTTATGTGTATAAAAATCTGTAGGCAAAAAAAGTGGTTCTGGTCAACAAAGTCTTTTTTATGACAAATCCAGAAGTCTTTATACATTTGTGTACCTAAGAAGATGGGAAATCAATAGTATGATAGAATCATACAATCACCAAGGTTGGAAAAGATCTTCAAGATCATCCTGTCCAACCATCTGCCTATCACCAATAGTTCTCACTAAACCACCTCCCTCAACACAACACCTAAACATTCCCTGAATACCTCCAGGGTCAGCGACTCCACCACCTCCCTGGGCAGCCCATTCCAGCACCTGACCACTCTTTCAGAGAAGTAGAATTTCCTAACGCTCAGCCTGAATCTCCCCTCACGCAACATGAGGCCATTCCCTTCAGTCCTATCACCTACATGAGAGAAGAGGCTGATCTCCATCTCACTACAATCTCCCTTCAGGCAGTTACAGAGGGCGATAAGCTCTCCTCTGAGCCTCCTCTTTTCCAGACTGAACAATCCCAGCTCTCTCAGCCTCTCCTCATAAGGCTTGTGCTCCAGACCCTTCACCAGCTCTGTTGCCTTTCTCTGGACATCGAACCATACAATGGCTTGGGTTGGACTTCAAAGATCATCCAGTTCCAATCCCCACGCTTCAGACAGGGCTGATACTCACCAGATCAGACTGTTTTGGGAATGCTTTGGGCCCCATCCAACCTGGCCTTGAACATCTTCAGGGATAGAGCATCCACAACCTCTCTGGGCAACCTGTTCCAGCACCTCACCATTCTTTCAACAAAAAACTTCCCTCTGACATCTAATCAAATATCCCTTCCTTTAGTTTAAAACCATTTCCCCTTGTCCTGTATGGTCTTGCGTAACAGCAGGCCTTAGAGAGAGATGAGAGGCCTTTAGGTGACATTTTTCATGCTTAATGATCCTGTTTTTCCTCTAAAATTGCTTTCAGAGGCAGGTATGTCAAATAATCCCTTTCAAATTTTGAGTATAAAATCTGTTTTCAGCCTATTAACATTAGCTAGAACACTTAGGTGTGTTTCTTGCTATTCACTGGTTTATCATTTTTTTCATTACATCTTCTTAAGTGGTGTAATTATCCAGAACACCGGAATTTTTTTGTCTTGAGCTGGAGACCACAGATATACCCAGAGGAGAATATCCTATTCTATGTAAGAATCATCAAAGAATCAAGAATCATCATGCACTTATCGTCACCTAAACAACTTAATGGTAATGGATACATCCAGGCAGATAAAAAGACCCTTAGGTTTCCAGATCTTGACACTCCTCTCATTGTTCCCTTCTCACAGCACAGTTTTAGGCAAATTATTTTTTATTTCTCTGCCAGACGCTTATCCATGAGCAATCAATATCCGCAGTAATGGATTTTTTGAGAATATGATCCTGAGGCCCTTAAGTCAGTGCATTCTTTAGTTTTTTTCACCATTCTAATTGCTTGCAAGGTGAAGCTCCAAAAGATCTTTGAAATTTTCTGCTACTGAAACACAGTATGATTTCTGTTCTGCCAGCAATAAGGGAAAAGGGGTTTTCTCTCTAACCATTGTCTACAGTTATTTAATTCTCCATTACAATCCATCAGTACAGCAAGAGCATTTTTTTT